CAGAGAATAAGTGTCTGCTGCAAACAATTCAGTAATCTGAGAACATACTACATTTTCTACATATTTGTTAATTGAAAAAAATTATTTCCCTAGTACATTATTTACTGAAGGCTTCTGTTATAATGGACATAAAAGCTACACATTGCTCTCCATCTTCCTTTCAAGATAGTGCTGCTATTTAAAGATGCCAACTCAAGAAAGTCTCACAGATACAGGCCAAAGCTCTTAAACTGCATTGATTTAAATAATAAACTGAAAAGAAAAAAACCACACCCTTATGGAAGAAATTATTCTTCACTGTCCTATACATTAAACAAGAGTACCAATTCATATGTATTTGACTTCTTTTACTTTATTCAGTGTACTGTTCAGTCTCTTCACCTACATGTGCATAATAAGTAACGGTTCTATTTCTAGGTGAGGATTTCTGTGGTTTTTATTAGATACCAACATTATACATTCCAACATATTCAGGTATTCAAAATACATAATAACACTTTCTTCAGACAAAGATTTCAAATAAAGGAATAATAAAATTCTATTATGCCAGCAGAAGACATTTAAGAAAGCCTGACTTTTTAAACCACTTCAAGACAGATTAAAACGTACTAAACTTTCATACTTTGGTTGTTAACGACAGAATAGATATTCCAGTAAATTCTTTATATACAAAAAGCCATATATACTCTCAATGCAGAACAGAGAAAAAGTTGACTTTCTATTTACGGAAACTACCAACACATGATTTTCAAAGGTTTATTTTTAATATATATACATTTTTGTCACATTTGGAGAGCTGAGTGTCTATTCTTTTTTAAAAAGTTAAGACTGTAGGAAAGTATGAAATGATTAAGTTAAATCAGCATTTTAAGTATTGTTGACAGCTCGCAAATCATTTGGAAGCTGACATTTCTATCTGTATTCTCCCTAGCTTCAGAAACAGCTCAAGGTAAAGCTTAAGCCAATAAATGGTAAATTACATAGTATTCCATGCTGTTCAACTATTGTTGAGATAGTGACACATGCCAGGATCCTTTTATCTGATTCTGACATTTTCTTGGCCCTGTGTTTCCTGGCTTACATTGCTGTCACCAAATATTTGCACCATAATTCTACCGAACAGTATCTCATCGATTCTCTGTGGCATACAGATGCAAACCAAAAAGATGCTATCTGCCACAAAAAGCTTCCAGCTGAGTAAAGATGGCAAGTAACAGATGAGTACCAAGAACTGAACTGGTCAGCCTGAGAGTCGCTGGTTTTGGCATTGCAACAGCCTAGCCACTTCCAAGATGTTTCTAGGCAATACAGAAAGGAGTTCCACACTGGTGTTACAAGGAGATCAGTGAAGCAGCTCTGCTGATACTTACGATGAGCTCCTGGCAGCTGCAAGGCACCCTATTAAAAAGAATTAATTGCTTGTTAAACATCTTGGCAGTTGGCTAATGGATGCTGGCATAAGGGGCTAAAGAGCCGACCTATCACTATAGGATGGGATAAGAAAAGGAGGTAAAGACACCTCTTCTAGACCTCTAATCGTGAGGAAAGGCGGCTTTTGTTTGAAGAGACGGGCAGCCAGAGGCAGTGATAGAGTCACAAGTTAAAACAACAGCCCTTTGTGGTGCCATCTCTCTCTAATAATAATTTCACTGTCTCAGTTCAAGGGAAATTACAGTAAAGCGTACAAGGCCATTTTGTGAGCTCTAGAAGTATATTATAGGAATATCTACAGTGTTAACTGCATTTGCTGCTGGAAAACACTGGGATGATTCAGATCTTGTTTGACTGAATTTTGGTTACTAGCTTGTGCATTCTGATTACATGTAACAGGCTTGTGACTTAGTATTTAGACACTATTTAGGTCTTCCACTATTTAAGCACTTCCTCACGTATACATTAAAGTCCTAGATTTTGTATTTTTAGGGACAGAAACCAGCCATTAAGCCAGAGATCTAGACATATTTTGCAGTTACATGTTTATTATTTATTGACTAACATGTTTATCACCAAGGAACTCTTGATACCCTTACTCACTGTTTATGGAGACCAAATTCTCACTGATTACACTGTAAAAAAATTGAGTATGAACAAATGACAGATTGAAGATACACTTTATGTCTTAATCAGAATTAAAGGGATAACAGCTTTAGGCTAATTTTTTAGTTTAATATGGAAAGTAAGCTATACATGATCACTGATTCACAGTACTATTCACATTAAGTCTTAGCAAAAATTAAAACTTACAGCGTGGTTTATTATCAGTGTAATGGTCTGGACTTGACTATGGCTCTTCATCTCTAGTGGGGATCCTCTCAGCCTTCAATTTCATTCGCGTTCCAAATTCAGGATATTTCACACTTACTTATCTCTCTATCACAGATGACAGTTAAGTGTCATAAAGTCTAGCTAAAGTCAAAGTAGAAATTAGTCTGGATCTTAGAAAAAGTTCCTGTCCAAAGGCAAGAACCAAAAAAATGCCAGCCTTCTCTTTAATTGCATTAAATTTACAGAAGATATGCTTACAGTTTAATCCACCCACTGCCTTGTTTATTACAGCAAATGAATGACTTTTCATACTATGAACTGAAAGGTGTAGGTTGGAAGGGAAACTAGTATAACACCACTAATGTCCCAACTTTCAAATAAAAGTATTCCATGCCTTTAAATAAATTAAAAGGATCTCACTCATGAAGCTAATTACTGATTCTTGCTATAATCTCAGAAGCAACCACCTTCATAATTAATGCATTACAATGTTTGTTTTACTGGGCATCACCAATCTCGGTGTTGACTTTTAAAGCCTGGAACATTGGTCTTCACATTGGCTGACTCTCCAGAGATGTGCAGATGACTGAGATTTGAAGAGCCTCAGGTCCTTATTCTCTTCTTTCTTTTCTACTGCAAATTAGGAGTTAATTCCTTTAATCACTGATCTTAAGATCAGTATAAAACTGTTTTAAGTAGGAAATGTAGCAGGCACTACCCCTCTTTAAGAATGCACTGATAGAATTTTAGAAAAAGCCAGGCAACACAGGTAAGAAGCAAAGACGATTGTCACCTCCCAGATGTCTGTCACTAGGATGGACAGCTCTCATACTATAATCCACAGCGACCTCCCACAAAACATGTCGCCCACAATCATTAAAATGGATTGTCACATTTTCCTACATGTAATTTATGGGCCATGTGTAAAAACAATAGTTCTACAGTTCAGTGGCAGTGTGGGTTTTCCATATACAGCAAATGCAAGTGGAAGTCTATCCCAGAGATCCTTCTCAACTAGTAGCACTACTGACATTATTGCTCTAGCCCATTCACTTTTTCCCCCAAACCACACTGGCTCTCACTGTCACCTGAATATTTTTTTTTTTTCTGGGGGGGGTGGGGGGGGGAGGCTGTTTGAGAGCATAAATCATCTGAGGATTTAAATGCCAGCACTTCTAAAAGGACAAAAGGTATCTGAGAAGCATCTTAGGGTATGAAAATATTAATAAAGGTATGGTGATACTGTACCTGGTCCAGTGTTGGAGGGAAAACAGAGGTTGCTAGAAAGAACTGAAGAGATCATTTTTCCTTGTAGATTTACCAGTCTCAGCCTTTCCAGAGCATGTACAAGAGCAGTGGTGAAACCAGCACCGATCACATCACACCCTCGGTCCACACTTCATCCTCTAATGACAGCACAGGAGGGTGAAGTTTCCATATCTCTTCCACAGTGAAATTTTTCATAAATTCTAGAAAAATTTTCTGCATTTTTATTTGTAGAGACGTTGTATCTAAAAGGGATTTGGTGAACATATATATAATCCTTTCGCTCATTCCCTCCGTGATACACAGCTGGGTCTTACAGAATGTGAGGTCTCTGAAGTACACACTTGCCTACAGACCTGTCCTCTCACTAGCTGACATCAAATATATGTTATGTCATGCACAAACCAAATTACAGATCTAGTAACATCTGAATTAACAGAAAGAAATCTGACACTTGAAAGTGATTCTTTACTCCTTGAATCAAAACACGCTGAACAGCTGGAAATTCAATGTTTCAAACTTCTGATGAATGCTTCTCTTCTCTTTGCTAGTCCAAAGCTGCTGGCATGTGTGTCTCCTTGCTAGAGTAAGGTGATAATGGAAGATATATTTAATGTGGAAGCCACTGCAGCCATCAGGCAGGAGTATAATCATCATAAAGTGTACACCGAGATCTGACAACACACTGTACAACCACAAAGAAACTGTAAGCACTTAGGATTTGAAGTCCTATTGCAGGGTGGATGGAAGCTCCTAATTCACTACCTGCCTTGAGGAGTGCGCTACCCGAGATAAATTTAGATAAGCTTATGCCAAATTATTCCTCTCTCTTTTGGGGAGATGCAGTAAGCAGAATTATGGTAAGTCATATAAAAGTCAATGGCAACGTTGAAATACAGTGAGTTTTTGAAAATGAAATAAAACCAGCTACAAACTCAAAACAAGTGCAGGTTTTTATTTTTTCCCCAAAAAGATATGTTAGAGCTCTCATGCAGGCTGGAGTCTCCCCCCCTCCCAAGCCCAACTGCTGAATTACCTCGCCTGACTGGAAGGTGCGAGCAGCAGGGGAGCTCAGCTCTGCCGTCCCTGGCTTGGACACAAGGGGTGGGCGGGCGGCCACAAAAAAAAAAAAAAAAAAAACCCAAACAAAAAAACGAACAGCCCAAAATAAGCGAAAAAAAAAAGGAGCTGAATCATAAAAGTGTAATTGCCTCTGAGGTAACCCCCCCGCCCTTTTTGGGTGAATCACTCCGCGCTCCCACGGTGCCCGTCCGGCTTTTCACACCGGGGGAGGGAGGGCGGGCACCCTGCCCCGCACCCCGGGGTCCCCGCCGCCCCCTTCCCCGCGGGGAGAGGCCGCCCCACGGCCCCGCGAGTCCCCCCACCGCGCCGGCAGGGCCGCGCTCCCCTCCCTCGCCGACTCCCCCCGGCCGCCCCCTCCGGTGACTCCTCCCTCGCGGCCGCGGCGGAACTGGGCGCCCTACAAATCCCGCCGCTCCGGCGGGGCTGGCGGCAGAGCGGCGCCGGGAGGCTCCCCCCGGCCGGCTGGTCCTGGGGCGGGGCGGGAAGAAACGCGGCTCTCGGTGCCTCGCCGCGCTTTTCCCTGGGGAGAGGGGAAACTTCGCCGGCGGGCGGGAGGCAGAGGAGGAGCCGCGTCCCCGTCCCGCCGCGGGGCTCCGCGTCCCGGCCGCCGCCTGCGGCTGGACCTGCCTACCGCCCGGCTGGTCCCGCCGGGCCGCTCCCGGCCGCCCCTCAGGGATCCGGCTGCCGCCTCTACAGCCGCCCCGCAGGCGAGGCAGCCGCCCCGGCTCCAGCTCCCGCCCGCCGCCCTCCTCCGCCTCTTCTCGGCCGCGTCCCGTTGGGAGCGGCGGGAAACGGGGGGGGGGGGGTGTCGTTTCCATGGAGACGGGGCAGCAGCCGGGTGGTTTCGGAGTGAAACTTTGCCGCGGGCGGCCGTGAGGGCGGGAGTCCCGCCGGGGCACCTCAGTGAGGAGCCGGGAAAGTTTTGTGCGGCGGAGCCGCCGCCCGCCCACGCCCCCAACCGCCACCCCGCGGCCGTTCCCCCTCCGCAGCTCCTGGCGGCCCGCGGAACCCGCTGCTATGGCACCCGCCCGTCGCCGCGGGGCGAGCAGGGGGAGGCCGCCTCCGGCTGGCCGTGCGGCGGCGGCGGGGGGGCGCGCAGCCCCCGGTCGGCGGGCGTCCTCCTCCTCCGGCCGGCAGTGACCGCCCCGGCCCCGCTCCCTGCCTGCTCGCCATGCCCGCCCGCGCCTCGCCGAGGACGGTGCCGGGGAAGGGCGAGGGAAGCCGCCGCCCTGTCACTCCCTGAGCCAGCCGCCGCCTCACCGGAGAAGCCCCATGTCCGCCGGGCGCCGCGCAGCCCCGCCGCTCGCCGCGCCGTGAGGGCTGCGGGCACCTCGCGCCTCCCCACAGGTAAGCGGCGGGGCAGGGGCGGGGGCGTGCGGCGGGGGTCCACCCTTCGCCCCCAAACTTCGACCCGCCCGCAGACGTTACCCCTCCCCGGCCGCGGAGGGGCCGGGCGGGGGGGACGCGCCCTTGCCCTGGGCGGCGAGGGGCAGGGTGGCAGCGGGGACGGGTGGGTGGGTTTTTTTTCCCCTGCCAGAAAGGGACTTTCAGCCTCCCGGGCGGAGCGGGCTGGCGTGCCGGCGGCTGCCGCGCTCCGTGCAGCTGCTACACACCCTCTTTTGTCTGCTCCCGGGTCCGAAATACTTTACGTGCTGCCATCGCCCGCCCCGCCGGTCCGGAGCCCTGCCCTGCCCTGCCGACCGGCTCCCCGCGGGCTTCCCCCCCTCGCCGCTCCCGCCCCGGCAAGTTTCGCCCTTTGCCTTCATTTTCACAGAAGTTGGGTTTTTCCTTAACCTTTGTTTGAGGGGAAAAATGGTGGTGTGCTGGTTATCTGGGTGGATGAGAGGCAGATGGGGGCGGCGAGGGGGTTGCCCTGTTCCCTTGCGTTCAGACACAACTCGCTGTTAAATAAATCGCTCATCGGGTAGACATAAGCTTGCTAGTGAGGTAGACTTTGAAACAAAAGTACTGCAAGCAGCTTGGGTGCACGGTAGATACCCCTCCTATCTTATTCACATAACCATTGTTAGGGCTTGTGCTTGAATTCGGTACGCATGCAGCTGTTCCGCAGGTCTGGAATTGCAATAGCTGTATCTACTTGACACTTAAGAATAATTGTCATTAACCACTGCTAGTCTAATCTGTGTAGTGGTTATGAAAAATAAAACGGGCTTTACTGTTTAAAGGCAAAAGTATTCCTTTCCTGCAGCATTCTGTGTAAAATGAGCTACAAAATAACCTGTAGCAATGTAGTGGACTTGCACTTCATAATGCTTTTAGGACGGTAAGGACTATATTGTTCAATGAAATTCTGTCAGCAAAGATTTCGTCTTTTTTTCTGGCTTACCCTGGTGCTAGATCAATACACTAGCAACTCTTCTGTTATTTTTCTGTAAGTAGATGGTGCTTCCGATCCATGTGATGGAAACCAAGTAAGTGTCCAGATAGAAGGAAACTGTGTTTTTTCCTTTAGTTGTTCTGTGCTGCTTTGTCGAAAGTGAGGAAGAAAAGCTCATTTAAAACAGAAAATTATATTTCCATTGAATGTAACTTAAATTGCCCGATAATGAAGCCAAAGGGTCTTTCAAGTTTGGAACATTGAAATGTACTTCTTGCTTTGCCAGTGAATGTACTTCTAGCAAAATACTTGTTAGAAGGTAATTATAAGACAATTTTTAGTAATTTGAAACATGAGTTACAATTAGATTTTTGTCCTGAGCACAGAAAAACACCCCCATGGAAAAAGATTTGTGGTACTTAAATAGTAATTTGGAAAATAAAATAATATATAATTTATATTTTGTTGGCATAGAAACATATTTTATTTGTTGCTTCTTCTTTGGATTGCAACAATAATCCAAATGAAGGTTGGAAAAGGAGTACTGATGTAAGGGTTCAGCATACTAGAATTATTTTATTCCATGTATGGCTTTGCCCAGTACAACCTCACTGGAATTGGAACAGAGCTTCATTTTTATGGAAGCTCTGTAATCAGGTTAGAGAAGGTGGGCTGTCTGAATTTAATCTTGTGAAGTATGGACTAAGCAAGCCCTGCTCTGACAAAGCACTGAAAGGTATGCTGACTCTCAAGCAGTTAAGGAGTTCCAACCTCCATCCCTAATGATCACCTGTGGTGCGAGTTCATTGCATGTAGCAGTAGGTCCTAGTAACTTCCATGGAACTGTTCACCAGCTTAACTGCGTTGCTGGACCTTTGCTGGACCAAGGCCTCTTTCAACGTGTTCTGCTTTCATTTCCTTGAATGCCAAGTAGACAACACACACCACCTGTGCCATACGCAGACGCTCACCTCGGCCGCATCTCACAGGTTGTGTAGTCTCAATTGACTTGCACCTCTCGGGGGGCGAAAGGGGAAAATTAAAAGTGAAATTGGTTAAGGAGTAAAATACATGTATGGAACAGCAGGAGGAGACTGCTACTTCTTGTGCCTTGTTCAGTATATTTTAGGAGCCAAAAATCTGAAATGCTGAAAATCAGTGAAAACTCCCACTAAAATTACGGAAACCAGACAAAGTTATGATATGAAAAATATGATACCTAAATGTTGCTGTCATGAATAGTTTCCCTTTTTTTTTTTTTTTAAAGTTACAGAAGAATACTGTCAGTCTTGTCTATGATAGTGGATATAAGAGGAACTTGATAACCTAGCTAGTGATGATGCCTCCGTTTGATTTGGTGCCATTATGCTTTGTAAACAGATCAATTACTTTTAGTCTACATGTTTGATCTTATGATACTGGAACAAAGGGGAAATTGTGAAACATTTTCTAGCATGCAAGATTACAGACTAAAAGTAGGATTAATTTGTGAAAACATTGGCATTTTGTGCCGGATTAAAGAACCGAAGGTGTTTAGACCTCTGCATGAGCCGGGCAAAGACGGTCTAAGTAGAACCAGAACACAGAAGGGCAGCTGAAGACCAGGTAGAGTAGAATATTAGATAATCTTTGTAGTACAGTTTTACATAAAAGCCTTTAAGAGGACTTGAATCTGTTCTCCAAAACCATGTCGTTAAGATTTCTGATGCTGCATCCCAAATATGTGCTTACTATCAGGATTTAGGGAGGTTCATTGTCAACGCACATTTACCAGCAGAATTTTTGCGTTACTTCCTGTGCTGCTAACTGGTGACTGCCTTTGAGTTACTTAAATTGTTTAAGAATTTGAAATCTTCCTAGAAAAGTTTGATACATATTTTAAAACACAGAGCTGTGTTTGCTTTCCAAGCCCACTAGAAATAAAAGGAAATTGAAGAGTTAGTACCTTAGTTTTAGTTAGTACTTTAGTTTTAAAATAAAAACATTGTAAGGAAAAATTTGTTTTTCTTCTTTACTGGGTAACACATAACCCACACAATCTCTGGGTAATTAGATTCTTAGTAAATGGACTGTCAATTGCATGGAAAGGTGAAATGCTGACAACAGTGAATTAAACTACTGAACAGATGTTTTAGACAGCTGTTATTCTACCCACTAGTTTTACTAGCTCCTGGGTGTCCACCTTTTGTGGAGTTCGTGAGAATAAATGCTGTTCTAAACTTCCATATTGGAAGTTCAGTCTAACTGCACAGCAAGAAGTCAGTACTCTATTCCACCATTGACCATTTCCACATAACACAATTCAGTACTGGGTGGATACATATAACTGCTTTTCACATAGGTGAATCTTGCCAGGAGCAGCTCAAGTGTACCTGATGACTGAATTTATTACTGAAATATTCAGATTATACTGATCTCTTAGTATAAATGAAATTACATTCTCCCTCCCGAACTTTATTACAGGATTTTAAACTTCATGATTTTGCCTGGGTGCCTTTTCTTAAAAATAGTGTTTTGTTTTTTTGCACAGCTAGCCAAATGAGATGGATATGCTGTAATACAAAGCTGCTTGAAACCTTTTACCTCCAGCAGTAGCAAAACATGTTTGTATGACTTAGTTTTCTTAGTTTGGTCCCTTGGTGACAGAAATATGACAAAGAACACTTAGTGTTTTCTGAAAATAATTCAGTGACCAGAAGCCCCGAGAAAGAAGGATGATTTCCCCCAGTCATCTCTGTTCTTTTTTGTTTCATGTTGAGGAAGGTTATTCTTACTCCCCATGTTTCAGTACCTAAAAGGAGTGATAGGGAGGTGCAGAGCCACCTACCTAACCAAAACTGGGTGTCTGAGGAACATCATCATTGAAATGTAATGATGTAGCAGAGCTTTTCAGTAAAACAGACTTGTGAAAAATGAAGCAATGAGCTACCTTTTTTTTTGTAAAAAGTCTCTGAAAATTCTTATGAGGACTGTAAGACAGTTGTCACTTTACTGTCTTGTGTCCATTTATATCAACATCTTGTTACTATTTATATCCCACTGGAATTTTAGTCAATTGTTACTTTTGTTGGAAGTGTGACCATTTTCCTCCAATTAAAATAAGGGGAGACAAAGGACATATTTTTCTACATTGTTTTTTAATTCTACCCCACTGAGCTGAATGATGAAACTCTTACTGACTCAGAGAAAATAGGATTTTGTCACTTCAACAAAATACACTTTAGATACATACAATGGCCAAACATTTTAAAAATCACAAGAGATGTAAAATATAATGTAGGTTATTTTTCATAGAAACTAGTTTGAAGACAAACTAGAGGAAGAGGAAAAATCTCTTTTTTGTATGAATTTTTTTTTTTCTTTGCTGTTTCACAAAGGCAGTTGGGCTGAGTATCCCAGTGCTATGGTTTTAAAAGTCATCAGTAAAAAGAGCTAAAATTTGATCTGGTTGAAATTGCATATTGCTGTAATTCACTCTGGGGCTAAAATGGGAAGGGTGTTTTCAATGAAGTGTTGATACACTTGCATGCTAATAGCCTATGAGTTCTGGCAGTTGCTTATTGGCACTTAATTCCTTAACTCAAAGCAGTAGAGGTTTGTGCTTTGATGCCTGTGACCTATGCTGGGATCTGTAGCATTAGCTCAGAGTGGATATGAAATCAAACCAAGCTTTTTAGAGCTTTCCAATGATAGTCACACTACTTTCTTCCTGTAAAGGGGGAAATTCCAAAATTAATTTTCATTTTTGTCAATTTAAACCACCTTCAAAGCAGATTAATTAGGAGGCAGTTAAAAAACTTCACTTATTATATTGAATCTGATGTGATAGTAGTAACAGTAATAGAGTTTATTATTTTTTTCACGTACTCCATCTAAATGTGTCTGAATAAATAGCTCTGCTTATCTGTAATCAGTTGCCTATTGTTGAAGAACAAGTTATATCTAATTAATTTTATCACATTTTGCTATGTATTAAATGAAAAAAAAAAAGTGCCATTACTTGTCCATC